ATCATGATAAAAATTACAAAATTGTCGATACACGATTATTTACAAATAATACGATTTAAAATAATTGCTAGCTGGTTATCTAATCCTAAGTATGATTGTTTTGTACTGGGTATTATGTACCATGTCGTTAGCAAACATGTATGCATGTATTCGGCATAACATCCTGTTTCACAAACCATTTCCTTCTGTAATTAGCGGCACCTACATATGAATTGGACCTTTCTTTATGTAAATTACTGGTTAAGCTAAGTTATTTAAGCTAATTACGAACGTTTAGATATTTAATAGTTTCCTCTTCTTCCATTACGAAATCTGTCTTCAAAACAAGTTACAATGATGCTTGCACATATGTAAATATATGGAAAACACGACGAGTCATAATTTTACGGTAATTACGATCAATTGTAACCCATGGAAAAATTTATTTGCCAGAAATTTAATTCCGAAATAAAAGTATGCCTATGTGCTTTGCAGGGATGGACAAACATGATAAGCGAATAATCACATACATAGGTTAAATTTGATAACAATTTTGTATTCATTTGGTAAATACAGGAATAATTAATTGTGGATAAGCATACTCTGGGTTGTTCATGTTATGTTCATGTTATGTTCATGCACAATTAATTAGCCGTCTGTAAACAAATAACTACATAACGCATTTATCGAATACTAAAATTTGCCAATGTTGTAAATAGCATTTATTTTTCTAATTTCCTTCATATGTGGTGACCTTCACGAGAAAATGTTTGTTTAAACAGTGGTTCGAGAGGTCTACTTGGGATGCATGTAAATATGTATTGGATATACTCGGATGCAATTTAAATAAATACTTACATATGTACATTTGTATTTAAATAGGTCCTTTAATATTTAGAGACTTAATATCTTAGAACACAAATTGTGGAGCTCTCACAATCTGTACAGAAATTTATAGCAGAATAAAATAAAATAATTTAGATTAAACTTATTGCTTCCACAACTTTACGATATGTATACGCAAAATGCCCCAAAATTCAAATAACTTTCTACCTATACCTTGCCTATTTTCACCCAACCAAACAACCCCACCCCCCAGAAAGATTATCAAACACAAATAATTAATCTTCTACAAATTCTAATTCTTCATTAGAATAAAATTCTCCTCCGCTTCCGCCATAATTCTCTCGAGTTGCATACAACGAAACGTCGTCCATCCCATCCCAAAACGCTTGAATCCCCGTTTCCCACAATCGTTTCGTCAAAGTCGTCACGGCCCCTTGACCCGGCATCATGTACAGGTCAAACCAATGCATCCTCATCAAGGTCTGGATCGTGTAACAGCGCCATCCATCCGTTGGGAGTTTTATCAATCACAGCCAATTTTTGGGTGTGGAAATACACCTTCTCTGAGTCCTCCGTCTCGCCAAAACTCTGAAAGTCGAATAGCTTTTTAAAGTCGTATGTTTCCTTTCTAATTTTCATGGCGTCAAAATCCCGCCCAAACATTTTTAGGAACTCTGTCAAGTATTCGGTGGATTTCAACTCCTGGGTAAAATCTCCCGCGAAATATGGATATTTAATGCGATATCCGGCTATCAAGAGGTCAATGATACTTTCCACGGGGGGCTGCCGTACAGGGGCATATTCTTTGTGTGAATAAAGATCAGTGTGAAATGTATGAAGTACAGGAATTCCATTTTGATAAGGTATTTTGTAAATAGGATTATTATTAACTTTTGTTGGTATTGGTAGAGGAATAATCAAATTGATAGGAAATTTTGCAAGCAAAAATGGAAAATGTATGCTATGTATTTGTCAGAATACACATTGGAGACTGAAGGTGAGCAATAGGTATTCTTGAAGGTTGCAATGGACACGTGTAAATAATATTTTTTGGACATTTCGCGTGGAATTAACAATTTCAGGTTTAGAAATTTGGCAGGAAACTCGTTAATTAGATTTAACCAATGCTACTGCGCAAATATGCAAACGTTTGATTAATGTTGCAATTGATTGAATACTATATGTATATCTCATTAGAGTTTCCTGTTTTTCTGAGGAAATTACATTTATTTAAATATGTATGCAGACTAGTTAACACGGTCGGTATTATAAGTTTCAGGTGGAAAGATATGTGGAATTTAGCAGCAATTTATTCATAATTTAGTATATACAACTTTAAGTATGTGTGTATATGTACGACCCTTGCATCCATATGTATGCACATAGCCGGCTGCTAAAATCATGCCACTTAATATTTCCTTAACTTTTCCCTACTTCTCCGCAAATGGGCCCAAAATCTCAACAAACTTCTACCTATACCCTGCCTATTTTCACCCAACCAAACAACCCCACCCCCCAACAAAATCATTAAACACAAATAATTAATCTTATACAAATGCTTGATCAGAATTAAATTCCCCAGCGCTTCGGCAAAAATTTTCTGGCGTTTTAGAAACCTAAATACTAATTGGTCCTCCATCCCCCTCCAAAACGCTTGAATCCCGGTTTCCTGCAATTTCCTCGTCAACTTCGCCACCACTTCTTGACCCGGCATCCTGCAAAGGTCAAAGCGGTGCATCTTCAACAAGGTCTGGATCGTGTAACAGTCACACATCGGAAGAAAAGTCTGTATAGTAGATGCAATCGCTCCGGTGGCAGTTTTATCGATCACGACAAATTTTAGGGTGTGGATACTCCGCAAATATAACTTCTGTGAATTCCCAATCGCGTCAAAACTCTGAAAGTCGAACAGCTCCTTAAAATTGTATGTTTCTTTCGTAATTTTCATGGCTTCAAAATCTCGGCCAAATATTTTTAGGAACACTGCTAAGTATTCCGTGGGTTTCAACCCCTGGCTATAAACACCCGCGAAATATGGGTAATTTATGCGATATCCGGCCTTTATAAGGTGAAGGATACTTTCTGCGGGGGGTATTCGTACAGGGGCAATTATCTTACTCGTTATCGAGTTCTCGTACGACATCAATAAAATTATGAGGGCGGCCGATGTAAGTAAAATGATGTAATGGTCACCCCCACTCGGGGCGGGTTGACGCAATAATTCTCGCGCGAATTTGAAAAATTTGGTGAAACTTTCCCCCACGTGGAAACCATTGAGGTCGAGGGAAAGAACGATTGCCGTTACGGTCATGACGGTTAAGAGGCATATCCAAATTTTTGGTGGGAAGGCGGACGCCCAAATTCCGAAATAGGACACGTCGTTTTCTTTGTGATACCGGAGCTGACAATAGAACATGTCCAAGCCCTTGATTGTGACAAAGACTCCTAAGGGGACCAACATGTCGACGCCTTCAGAAGGGTGAATGATGGTGTTGAAGGTGACTTCGCCGAGAAGTCGGGTACCAGAGGGGGGAGATTTGGAGGATGATTGGTACCTTAAGTGATGGGATAGATTTAGATGGTGGGCCACAGTTTGGAACAGGATTAGTCCTCGGGTGCATTTTAGTTGCCTAAATTTTGTCTTTTTCTTCCCCAGTAGCCACGGGCTTGTGGGGCAAGGCATTCTATCGATACCTGTTCAAAAAATGTTTATTTATTTATAATGTATTCTAGTTAAAAATTGGGTCAAGTACTCATTCATAAAAAAATTGAAAATATTTATATTTTTACTCATTATTAATTTTTTCTTCATTTTATCTCAAATTCGCCTTATTAGACGGATTTCTCAATATACCCCAGGTACGAAGAACTGGGTGAAAAATTTATAATGAGTAAAATTATTCATTCATTCTTCATGCATATGAATAATGAATAATATGAAGGGAGTAAGTATTTACTCAATTTGCATTCATGACAATTTTTGAAAAATTGATTTCTTGGTTCTATAAAATGAATGAATGTGATGAGGTTTGATTTTATGAATACCGTGATCTTGTTTATGTGCGGCATCAAATATGAAAATCGTAGAATCAGAAGTTCCCCAGAGTTGCCCGAAATTCACATCGTCTCTCCCAAAGTGCTGAACTGGAATGAATGTTTCCTCGCAGAACAAACAGAGCAGGTACTTTTTTGAAGATCTTACCCTCCACAAAAACCAAGATGCTTGGTAGTCGTGGGAGAAAGGGAACGATTTAAGTAGTAGGAACCGGTTAATCGGGTTGGTCCAAGGGTCGATCAAGATGTAGGAAGTTTCAGGCCGATAGGTGAGGTAACTGGGTTGTATAATGTTATATAGATTTTCTAAAAAAATTTTGGGATCAGGAAGGTTCGAAACAATGAATAGGGTGAAACAGGGTTCCATCGTGAAGCGGAGATTGGTTGTGTGAGCCGAGAATGCTGACAGAATACCAGACACATCACCCGACTGCTGCACGGACCAGGACGGAATTTCGGTGTTTTGTGTAATTATTTCGTTCAGCAAGTGGTTATGAAAAATGCCATTACGTTGCATTTGAAAAATATGTGTAAAACACGACCTGATTCCAGCTAATGAATAGGGCGAATCGATATTAAGGGTATGCACATCCTTGGTGTGAATAAGGATCAGTATGAAATTTATGAAGTACAGAATTTCCATTTTAATAGGGAATTGAAAGGTTTTTGTAGGCTTATTGTTAACTTTTGTTGGTAGAGAAATAATACAATTGATAGGAAATTTTGCAAGAAAAAATTCAAAACTGATGCTACTAGTCAGAAGACACATTGCAGACTGAAGGTGAACACTAGGTATTCTCGAAGGTTGCATTCGACACGTGTAAATAATATTTTTTGGTCATTTCGCGTGGAATAATTTCATGTTTAGAAATCTGGCAGGAAACGCGTTAATTAGATTTAACCAATGCTACTATGCAAACATGCAAAGGTTTGATTAATGTTGTAATTGATTGCATGCTACATATATGTCTCATCAGTTTCCTGTTTTTCTGAAGAAATTGCATTTACTTATATAAATATGCATGCAAATTAGCTAACACGGTCAATATTACATACATATAAGTTTCGGATGCGAAGAAGTGTAGAATTTAGGAACAATTTATTAATAATTATATACAGCTGTAAAAGTACATATGTACCGCTGCTAATTAAACATGGCTGTGTATATGGAAAATAAAGTTTTTAATCATAAAATGTCCCAAATTAATTTATGTTGTTAGAACAAAAGTAGTTTCATAGACATTTCGAATTCCGAATATCTATGTTGCTTAAATATGTAGGAATATTCAGAAAAAATAAATCGAAATTTGAGGCTACTTGAACTTCGCATTCTTTACTAATTACTGTTGACTGAAGTATATATATGTACTCAAGTGTCGCAAATCGTCAGTTATTCGCTGCTTTCATGTCATGGCGTATATTACATAACTGATACAAAGGTGAAGTATAACTGCATATTTAAAGTCTAATATTTCAATTAATAGTACCTACATACATAAGTACCGATTGAATTTACAAGTAGGAAATAGCCATCCTAAATTAAATTTATAAATGTATCGCATCAAAACATTAAAACTGTAAATCAACTTAAAGTGTTTTTAACTGCTTGTCACACTCCGCCATTATTTCGTTGATCCGTTCAATCACCACTCTGCCCGTCTCATCTTCCCCGTCTCCCACCTTTTCCAAGAGCTTTACACAATAGTACCTTAACCGTTTAAAGAAGCATTTCTTGCCCGTACATCCTTCAAAAATTATTATGGCCTCGAGCAAATCAGGTATCAGGGTGTATTTAAAGGCGGCCTCGTTCCCATAATAAATCACGAGATGTGCCACATCTAGAAGAATGATGCACCTGTACACCATCTGAGCGGGAACGGTGCGCATTTCGTCTAGGCGAGCGAACGAGGGTAAAATGTGGGTTAAGGTGTGGGAAATATATTCGTTAATGCAGGCGACACCCTTGGCAAGGTTTTCTTCTTTTAAAAGATCCCGCTGGTCCAGAACGTACTTTTGAACGAGGCACTTTGGCAGGTATAAGGAAGGATTGGGTTGCATTAAGGTATCCTCGAGGAAACTGGAGAGGATGTGGACCTCCTGAACGAGCATGGCGGTCGCAAATGGGTTATCAAACGGACCACGTGGACCTATCGGGTGAACTGAGCCTTCCTCCATGCTAAAGAAATTATGTTTTTTTAGGGGAATATTGGGACCAATTTTAGACGTACAAGGTGGTTTAAATGCCAGGTTACAATGGAAAATTTTTCAATAGGAAAAATTCGCAAATCCCCATTATTTACAGAAATTTTACCTCTGAAATTCAATATTTTAAGAATTTTGCCATCAGTGTTCAATAAGTTTTGATAAAAACTAATAAAAATCTCAATCCCAAATCCGTAACTAATGGAAATTTATGAATTTTTCCCATTGTAACCTGACATTTATACCACCCTGTACTTCATGCATGCCTTCAAAAAACGTACCCTTCAGCAATTCCATACTCCCAAAATCCTCTCTGCAAAACTCCACAAACGTAAAAACAATATTCTTCCAGGTCTTGAAAAGTATCGATTTGTGCATTTCCCAAATATTTTATCATCCCGGTGGCCATACTGGTCGTTACTTTGATAATAATTTGTCTCGTGGTGACATCCAGGGTGGAAAATACTTTGTGCAGGGTGGGCATATTCGTCATTAAGTCTCGTTCTTTGTCCGTCATGCCATCTAAAGACGCAAAATAATGCGGAATTTAATGATTAGAAATTTAGAATTTTTGTTTGTATAATTTCATTTTGTATGTTGCACTCTCCTCTTGTTTATTCTAAACTTTTGTTTTGCACAAACTTGAGGAATTATATAAATCATATTGAAATATGTATTGCGTTACGTACACAAGCAGGACAATTGGTTCTTCACGGGATCTTGTAAAACGAGATGGAATTTAGACAAGTCAGCGACCCGAGTCTCCACACTTTTTGAGATATCGTCCTCTGCAATAATAGATATGAGATTTGTTAAGAATTTTTCCTGATTACGTTGTATTATTAATATGAGTTAGGTTTTTGAATAGAAGTGGGTTCGAACTGGATGGACGCTGAGAAATAAACGGACCCGTATTTTTTGCGTTTTTCAGAATGCGCATCTTTTTGCCGGTGACGGAATTTAAAAAAATCAACCAAAATCAAGAATTTTTCAAGAGGCTGTAAAATTTTGTAAACAATTAACCGATCTCCAAAATTAAGCACAATTTTTGCTCAGAATTTCTTCCCTCAAATTATAAAGATCCATTTTTAATTTTTTTTAAATTTTGAACATTTGATTGTGTCATGCTAGATATTTCTGAATTTTTTTAAAATGCAAAAAACGATAATTTGTTGAAATACGAGTTTCAGTTGATATGGAAAATAATAATTAAAATAAATAAAATAATAATTTCGGAACCAAAATAAAATATAATGGATACGGAGAATTTGCTTATGATTGGACTTCGGATTAAATTTGTAATACTTGCGAAAAAAAAGTTGTTTAGTTTACTGCTTAAAACTCGATAGAACCCACTAAAACCCAAAAACCCTAATACCTTATTAAAGCCCCATTAAAACCCTGCTTTGTTACATATTTAAATTAAAACTAGGGTTTTTCCGAACCCTGGTTTCTCTAAAGTCCCCTCAGCGATTACAACATTATTTTTGCAAGACCCCTGTCGAGTACTTAGTAACACGTGCTTACTCACCCACGGTATCCAGCGCCCTTAAGACGAGATGCAGCAAGGCCAAAAACTCGCCAAATCTCTCGTTACAGAAAAACCTACACCGAAGCGCCATATGGGTCGAGTCTGATGTTTTCAGTACATACTTGATGGCCTTGACATACTCCCGGCCCGAGTCTCTGGGATCGGGCCGTCTCCTCTGAAACACTTTCCAGACCATGGCGTCGTGCCGAGACGTAAAGAAGGATTCGTATAATCTTACCACCACGAATGTTACTATGTTTCCGAACATAACAAATATTTCCCATGGTGTGAAATAACTAAACGTGTGAAACGATTTCGTTTTTGGCTTCTTCTTTGGGGCAGAAGAATTGTTAGGTTGCTCCATTTTGCTGGATTTCTTAGAACTGGAGTGCAACTCGGGATTATGATGGTTTATATGCATGTATGTATGTACGTATGTATGTACATGTAGATATGTGAACAGGTACCGCACAATGATGGGGGGACAACGGGGTAAGGTGACATTGTTGGAAAAGGGGAGGAGTAGGAATTGTATGGACACATTTATAAATCAAATCATGTATTGCTTTCTCAGTATTAGATAAAGTTGCTACCGCTTTATATTACAATAATCTATATGTACACGGGTCCGTGCAGAAACTTTAATTCCGAGCAATTATTTAATCACTACAAACCTTGCAGTACAAGGTGTTAAATACCATGTTGTTAGGTCCAAATATGAATACGGCATATTTTAATGGAGTTGTATTGGGAGAATTTGTAAAAACATTATTTCCATGGGGACCGGTTTCCGCGGTAACTGTGTTACAAATTTTTGTTAAAAAGGTGGTGTGCACTTGTATGTAAATATTTCCAGCCGCGAGGGTTACGCAACTTTACTTTATAAGGATTTACCTCCTTTAATTTTTTTACGCATTACATACATACATATTAATAAGTATGTACATATTAATGTAACACTGTAGTAATCTATGCGGGAAGTCGTAAAACATAATTAGCCTTATTTTCTAACTAAATGTTGGGAATTTCAGTTTGGGGTATCATTGTGGGAATATTGATCTAAATATTATGCACCGTGTTTTTGTCGTAATTTTCGAGACACTTACATAGGTTTTTGTGTATGAAAAAAACTTCTCGAAATAATTTTTGTCACAAGGTACACAGCTAATTATTTTAGGCTTAAATGCTCACATACATTTAATGACATCCATGCCACTGGAATCCACTGGTGTTAGAGGAAGCACGTATAATTACATACATACATACAAGGAAAATTAATTACATGTTTTCTCCTAGTGATAAAATCACTACAAATACAACATTATTTAATGGTAAGTAATTTGTCCATGCTGGGATTTGTATTTTCGTTGGAGGCCGTGCATGAAGGAAAGGTGCTTAGTTTTGTAGGCGTGTGCATAACGGTAAGGCAAGGTAATATTATTTGTATGTTACTTAAGTATTGAACATGTTAGAGTTATCATTCTTTACAAATTAATTGTCACATTTTTTCTGCACTGTCCCGTGCGTCAAGTTGAGTTGTTGTGGGCATAAGTATTTAATTATTTAAGGAGGTAGGAATTATGTATGTATGATCAGTTTCATAATTTTCTCACACTTTGGGACATACATATCGTCGGACTAATTCTAAAACCACGTAAGTGCAGTCTCATCTTAATTCTAAAACCACGTAAGTGCACTCGCTTCGTAATTCTAAAACCACGTAAGTGCAGTCAATGTTTAATTCTAAAACCACGTAAGTGCATAACAAAAACAAGGAAAATAACCTGACTACAATTCCAAAACAGTATGTAGTTAATTTTCATATTTAAGTTTATAGTATGATCTTGCATAAATAATTAACTGCATACTATTTTGGAATTGCAGTCAGGTTATTTTCCTTGTTTTCGTTTTGCACTTACGTGGTTTTAGAATTACGAAGCGAGTGCACTTACGTGGTTTTAGAATTAACATGAGACTGCACTTACGTGGTTATAGAATTAGTCCGACGATATGTAACTGCATGCATGAAGATGTATTTGTGTAATGTTGTAATGTGAGCTCATCAGACGGACTACGATAACTACTTATGAATGTACTACGTATGAATGTATGAAGGTTATCATTTTTATGTGATTTACAAAACCACAAGCTTGCAAAAATGAATATGTAAGTAAGGGCCAGTTGGATACTAAGAACGAATTAGAAATTACTTATGGGAACTCATGAGTTTTCATGATTTTCATAAATTGCTCATGAAATCAAACATATCTGGAAATATGACAAACCTTTCGAACGCTGGTTATCACCTGGGCGAAGCAAATTTATGCACTTGTCATCATGATAAGTTATATGTATGCAAAACAGTTTGGAATACATAGATGAATGACGACAAGAGTGTGGAAATTTTCCCGTTCCATTGGTAAACAGGAGAAAGATGTGCATACATACATATGTATGCACTTTAGACAAATACGGCAAAAACTTGAGTTCTTTTTAATAAAATTCAGAAGTTTTACTCAAAATTACGTACACTGTGTCCAACAGCTTTCTTCCCACAAAGATTAATAATTTTCATGAGGCTGAACACATACATCTGTATGTACATTACGTATGTACAATGTATGTACAAGTTACTAAAGCCAAAAAATACGAATTAAAGTAAAGTAGACAAACTAGTTTGATTCGGGTAATATTTTATTTTATTGCATTACATATATAATTATTATTTACAGTGACAATTATTCGTACAAGGGCCACACTGGACGTGATTATTGACTCCTGGGCCGACAGAATTTTGCAAATTTTCACACGCATAATACGACCAAGCAAAATATCCCAGCCCCACAACGGCCCCCACGGGTCCGGCGGCCGCTGCGATGCTGGCGCCCACTCCGGACGCCATCGCGCTGCCCCCCATCCACATTACAGCCTTCATTGCCAACCCTTTTCCGGCGGTGGACGCCCCCACCGCCATCACCTTGGCACCCAGCGCGGCCGTAGAAAACCCCGCCACACCCCCAGCCGCGGCCGATTTGGCCAAAACGGACGGAGTTGAGGCACACCCACCAGCATTGACTACGCCACCGCGACAGATGAGACAGAGAAGGACGAGAAGTTTAGCTGTGCGTTGAGAAGCCTACATAATAAAATGGATTCTTAGAAAGCCAGTATTAAAATAATACCAAGCGGTATTCAGAGGTACTTAGGAATCTGGTTTAGTCACGCAAGAATAGATTAATCGGTGTGAAAGTTGCTGCAGTTTGGTTTTAAAATTATACCGATCCGTAAAAAATTAGCTACTCAAATGACAAAACTTTAATACCCGTTATTATTACAGGGTACTACTTTTCAATACTCTGATAATGCCGTGTAGTGATAGCTCGGTAACAAATTTTTAGGAGCTGGCATAATTTTAATACCAAACGGTAAGAACCTTAATACCAAGACATCAATACTTGCATGACTATACCAGATTTCTTAGTGTGTACGAATTAATACCAGAAATTTTTGCAGCAAAAATTTATCCTAAATTTAAAAAACTGTCACACACTTACCATGCTAATTTTAGAGAAAATTTGGTTTAAGTATACTTTTGTAAAATTGGAAGACGTCGAATGCACATAGTGGTTATGCTGGGAGCTCCGGGCACTATAAGAGGTTCCCTCGTCAGCTAAACGTAAAGTGATGGAATGAAGTGACAATTAATACGTATTTGGTGAGTTTAAGCAGACCCGTTTCTTATCTGTATCTGCAATACTTATGTACATACATACTTGGTTGTCATCATAAGGATTTTTATGACATTACAAGTACCAGCAGTAGTCATGATGTAATATTTCCTCCGTTTCGTTTGCTGGAATTAGTGTGAACTCATGAGCTAAAATTTTGCGTTCGGCTTTTTTTGCAGAAGGAGATAAACACGTTCATAAGCGTTGGCTCATGTAGAGATGACACTGACGGGATAATAAATCAGCCATGTCTTAATGCATATGTGCATATGCAAATATGTACATTTGTACTCATATGTATGTCGCTATACCATTAAAGATATGCTTTCACTACAGCAAATTCTTATTGAATATGTACGTGCATACATACGTGGATATTTGCACTGCTAAGTAACTATCCAGTAGGGTCACATACATCCTGGTATTGATTTGGTAATAAGTTCCTACTGGGGATACTTCATTTCTGCGTTGGAAATATTTCACTACCACAACATTACTAAACCGTAATGCTGACTACGACCATGCTGGTGGAATCATGGTAGTGACAAATACATATTTACATATGTACAAATATGCATTCTGGTCAACAATGACTAATGTATTTAATAATAATGAGGATTTATTTGTTCACGCAAAATCAGAATTTAATACATGTCCCCTAAGACGTAACACAAACACATATGAGTATTTCTTGGCTATAGTACATACATAATGTATGAAACGATTTGATATATGCATGCATTTACCTACTCGCTCTAAACAAAGTTGTGTAACATTTACCCAAACGTTGCGTAAAATGGAGGATGACAACAATTAAACAAAATTTCTGCCCTGGGTAAATTTTATACACCTTTATTTTGAGTGTGGATTATACATTTAAACATACCTGTATCTGTATACATTAGTTCATCGTTTGTTCATTGACAAAGTAATTCCAGATAGAAATGATAATGCTTTTAGCCCATATGCACGTACACGACAAAAAGTTCACAAGTGCCAGCGCAATTATTTACCATTCGCATGTTATATTATTTCCATGTAAGGTCAATGCTATAATATTTAAATATTTGTACTTGCATAAATATGTTAGGGTCCGACATTTTTGCATGATTTTCTTCTAATAAAAAAGACACCTTCACAGTACTTGATCAGTTTTTAATTACACTTGAGAAGCTCAAGGTAGGATAATACTAGTTGTAAATTAAGCGTCCTGAAAAGTTTTAATCAATCAGAATCAACATGAATAAATTATTTATTGCTATGTTAGGATTATGTAGCGGATCCTGGTCCTATCCTCCTAATTCGAACAGGTCCCAGAAGAACTTAAAGATCATACAAAGTGCGACACCAACTGGACCACCTGCCACCCCGACTAAACCAAACACCATCGCCCAAGATTGTCCTCCTAGCGTTGTTCCCACTAAAATCCCGCCAATAAGTCCGAGCTTGGCTTTCCGCGAGAGAGGAAACATCCTGCAAAATTAATTTGAAACACTGATTTATGAGTTAGCAAAGTTGAAATAAAATTTGATAACCTTTAAGGCGCTGAAGAATTTCAACCTCCTGAGTTTGTATTCCAGATGTAAAACTTTGGCAAGTTTAGCACATGATCGACCAGTTCGACTAGGCTGGGCTGCAGGAGGAGAATGCGTTTGTTATCAGGCTGGGCGTTATCGTAATCTTCACTCTACCTATCGACAAAGAGATAAATGTTTATGAAGTGGTGCCATGAGGATAGTAATATGTATGTAAATGAGTGTAAATCCTTCAGGTCATAAATATGTGCATACACTAAATGTGTAAAGTTGAGGAGAATTTGAGTTGACATAATTAGTTGTGTACAATTTATATGGAAAAAAAATTTGAAAATTTTTTAGTAGGTTTCAACGCAGATACGGTGGGTCATAAGTTCATAACTATAAAATTCTGTATTTGGGGGACATAAATTATGTCACTCAAAACTCGCGAATTTCTAGACCCCCCTTCCCCTCTTAATATGTATTACATAGGAATCGTTCAACCTGTCTTGGTCGTAGAGATGACTTGATTGAGGAAGCTTGATTTTAATTCTGAAAATATTCGACCCAACGACGACGTCAGTTATTAATCAAAGTTTTAACCATGACATATAAATAAGAGCGATTCTTCTGCTGGAATATATATTCTGTGGAATCAAATTAATTATGCAGAAAAACTTCTCAAATGTGAACGATTTTGCATTTTTTGATCTGTGTGATGTGGAAACCGGCATCAGCGTCAAAAAAGTGCCGCCTCACGCAACAAAAAACGCATGTGTGGGTGAGGCCTTATATCGTAGAAATTAATGTTATATTTATGCCTATTGTCACGCATTATGTGTTTTATCCTTTGTTCCTCAATTGTGAAAATAGACTTAATTACGATCATAGTAAATATGTAAATAGATAAGTATTGGAAGAAACTTAATCATATTCTATGTAAATGGACGAAAAGCAACCAGTTTAATTCATAAATATTTTTTAGTTGTACTTATTATAGGGTTACCTGTTTGCAAATTCAATCGCCATTGAACGTTTTGTTTGGTTAGATTATGAAATTTTTAAAGTAGGGTTGAAAGTTGGGTTGCCACGGGTAACGGGTCGGGTTTATCTACGGGTATGGATAGTTCAGTTTTTATTTAATTTTGGTCGTAACTCAGCTCACATAGATATAGCAGCTCATGAGGTCGTTTACCAACGAAAGCATCAATTTATTAAGTATGTATCTACGCAATAGAGCACATACATAATTAATTAAATCGGTTTTATTTTGGAGTTGATTAGTTTATCTGTATAACTTGATCCTCATAACGGCTAGCCGGTACCGGCATGGACTGTGGGTAACGGATCGGGTAACGGCCAGTAACGGGTTGCATTTCCGCTACTCCCTAGTTGGAAGTATTCATGAGTTCAATTTCTCGCCTAGTTGTCAATATTTAATTACATGCCATGGCGGATTATGGTAAAGATTTATATAATTATGTACGCCTTATTTTATGCCAAACACGAAAAAATGAACTAATATGTAGTGATTAGATTTATAATACAGCATGCATCATTTTTTGTATTTTCATTGACAAAATAGCATAATACTCGAGACAATTTGCGACGCGTATGCATCCACCCATTAAATGTAGACTTGCAACAAATTTAATTAAATATCTAGAAATATAATAAAGCTGTATTATATATACATGAGGATAACGACTTTATTTAACCAAAACTAATGCTTACCTTCATCTATTTAAATACACACGTAGTTATTTTTTATCCCATTTATCCACCACTTCTACCATTCATCAAAAGCAGGGACACGGTTTGATTAAAGCAGAAATTCTCAATCACCAACGGTGTTCCTTTGCCCACAAAGTTTTGCCCGAATTGTATCTTTACGGCGGTGCAGGATGCCAGTTCCTTCCGAATAGAAGCCTTCCTCCGAAAACTGTTGCTCAACCCACAATTCAAGTCGGACAATATTATAGTTGAATTCGTATTCACTTTCGCCGCCAGTGTCTCGATGACCAAATTAGTTACAGTGGCGTCCACCAGGAGGAGAGGGAATATTAGGAAACCCGGCATCGGGATTTGGGAATACAACTTGATGCACACAAACATGGAGAAAACCTGAATTTGTGGCACCCCGCCGATCATGGCCGGCACGAGTTGTCCCTTCAGTGCGTGGTTCAGCGTCTTCTCCACAAGGCGAAGGCATCGGTATGAATGGAGGACTTTGCTGATGTGGATTTCCGTTGTGGGATCCTCTCCAAGTTTCAGCATCTCCTGTACCATTCTATCCAGGAAAGTTAAATATGTAGCTTAAAAACTATGCACTCCAAGCAATGTTCGGATATGTAGGGTCACCGAGTGTACCAACTTCTGGTAACAATTTTGGTCAACTCTTGGTAACAACGTTGTTCACAAAAATTCAAATTCTCTATAAGACCGTATAGGAACTCTCTATAGGAACGGAATTCTGACCCAGTGGTAAAAAAGTAGAATTCGTGGACAACTTTTCATACCGTTAAGAGTAAGCGGTCAACTGAACGCGCGGTACACTCGGTGGCCAGTCCGTTACGATTTTGTAACGAGTTGTTCCAGTCATTGTTCTGTGATTTCCATTATTTGTCATATCATGTAACTTCATAATCGTACTAAAGGTATTTTAAAATTAACCTATGTACTTTCAAGATATTATTTTAATATTTTCCAATCATTCTTAACGTGATGGTACTAATGTCGGTTTAACCAAACTTTGAGTTAAGTGACTTTAAATTACCAGAAACTAGTTAGTATACATTCTATGAAATTTTACATCACCATTGCGAATTTATTCTATTGCTAAATAATGGAAATCGTAGGAAAACGTATGGAAAACCAAATGTTTTGTGCCACCTTGTACATAGGGGATTCAACACCGGTTTTTCAAAACCGGAAAAACCGGAGAAAAACTGGTTTTCGGTGAAACCGAAAACCGGTTTTGGCAAATCTGAAAACCGGATTTTCGCCAAAATTTAAAATTTTTAAACGCTATCATTTTTCTAATTTTGAAGCTATTTAAACAAAATAAATAACGTTCATGCTTAAAATGAAGGCCTGTAATTATTTTGCAAAACCATTGGATAATTTTTAACAGAATTTTGCTATTTTTTTGGATTAACACAATTTAAAAAGTTGCAAAAATAATCAACAAAATTAAAAGCAATGAATTTGAAAAACTACATAAATTATTCGGCCGTGGTCGTGGGTTCGTATCCCACTGTGATAACCACTTTGTAACCTCTTCCGTGCTTCATTCATAAATTAATATTCGGAACTTCAAATTTCTATTTGCGTAAATTATATTTTCTAATAAATTTCGAATGTGGTTCTAACCTAGAACCCCGTGCAAAAACCTGAAGTTATAGCATTTTAACAGCTTTAAGTTTTGGCTGAAAATTGTAAGAATGCGTATTTTGAAAAGTCATACATGTGTCAATATGTATGTATTTATGTGCTGTCCGACTTGTGCATTTAAGAAAATGCTTATCTTGTCCATGAATAGACAAAAATTTCTCCGGTCGAAATCCAATGCAAATGTTACAGTAAGGTTGCTCGTGTAGGCATTCGCTAAAAATATTCAACCTTGCAAATGGGTAAAATCTTAAAGTTGATACACTGGTCTCTTTTTTTATCTCATTTCCTACGAATCTAGCATTTTCTTCTGGATTACATATCGAACTGGATAGTGCTTTCCTATAATTTTTAGAATAAAACTAGGCTTCGGTTACATATTTAGAATTAATTGGCATCTTCATATTACGTTAACAAATAATCCATTAAGTTAGCATATTTATCTCCTCAAAGAATTAGAGAAGGTAAATTCTTTAATTAGTTTGACGTTTTTCGTGCATCTTTCCGTTAAGCCATTGTTCTTACGGTTAGGGCTGTTAAACCTACGATACCCACATATTTAATTTTTCTACCCCTATAGTGCACAAAATATTGTTTTGGAAAAACGGTGAAAAACCGGTTTTTCACCGGTTTTGGTGGGTGGAAAACCGGAAAAACCGAAAACCGGTTTTCAGAAAAGGGTCCGGTTCTGAATTCCCTACTTGTACATTAAAGTTGTTTCCCTTACTTTTCGAAATACTCCAAGTAGTCCAACATGCACACTATGGCTACCATAAAGGCATAAATGATGTAGAACGAGCCTTCGTACACGTAGTGGAGCCATATCCAAAATTCTGCGCTCATCATTAAGACATGGACCCACCAGGGTGGAGGGTTCCAAACCCATTTATCGCAGTAGGGCGAAATGCTTCCAAGGAATGGGAGAGCGCAAGGATTGTGGAGCTGAATTGCCACCACGATTAACGGAATCAGGACGACCGTCGTTTCTAGCAAGTTCATAAATGCTAGCATGCATCGATCCCTGGCACCGGGCTGACGGGAGCGGTTCTCTACAATATTTTTATAGGAAAACAATTATTCGTTTTATGCAACTCGTAAACTTCAATTTGGTAGCAGAGCCTTAATTAAGTCTACAATGTAGACTTAGATTAATTAACAAATTAGGAAATAAAATAAAATAATTCAAATTTGGCTTATTCAAATAGAGTTACAAATGGTAACAAGTCTTGTACAAATATGGCCTATTCCGAGTTACAAATCGTGTACAGGTTTTCGTATGTTATCACAATTTCAAAAAATTCTAAAATGCTCTATTTATTTCTATTACTTTGAGACTAGTCTATTAATGAAAACATGTAGTTCCAAAACTGAAGTAAACTATCAACCTCAGAAAGCTCTAAATTCGAGCCATTCTAATTAAACATCTCACACTTTTGATCAAACGTCAAACATTAAATCATGGTCTGCCGGATTACCTCTGATCAACATGTTTTCGAACTTGAAGAACGCATTCAGCATTCGGCATGGTTCGCTCAGCACCCCATCGATTGGCCAGTACCACCGGGCCAAAATCGTGACGAGGAGCGCCATGAGGAAGACGAGCCCTTGCGACTTCTCTGCGACGGAATCCTGTCCTAGGGAAATTTTCAATGTGATCCCGACCGTGTAAAGGAGTCCTGCCACTAGCTGAATTTTCTGATAGAGGAGGCCCCACTTGGTGCAACGGTGTGGCACGAGGAGTTCCAAATTTGGCTC